AATGCTTTGAAAATTTATATTAGAAAGCGAAGCAATCCTTTCAAGGGAAAAATGTAACTTTTTTTCATGATTTTTCATTTCCAGTTTTAAAATGGTGATAAATATGTGTGCGTTTGTTATATTTTCGCACAAAAAATAAACTAATATATGGATATGAATGTGAAAAATGTATAATTTTGGTCGATATATTATACATACATCGCATACATGCTTTAGCGTTGTAGGGCATTTAATACCCAGGCCTTACCCGACGCAATAATTCTGTCATGCCTTTGTAGCTCGGTAGGCTTGCAAAGATAATGTATTATTTTTCTTAATATGTATGTATGGTGAGTGTCTGTTGCAAACGAAACTTGAAGAAGCTCAAAAGCTGCACATATTCGTTTTAAGAGGAGTCTTGAATATCTATCCCTTTAGATCACGTTCTACATAGCGAATATAAATTTCTTCTTGTTATCGTTTTAACTGAGAAACTTACAAGTGAGATATTTGGGTGCAGTTCCAGACTAGCATCTGCTACAGGTCGTAAGTCAGAGAAGAATGTTTATAAAAACATTTTTTCTTTCTTTTAACATTTTGTTAATTTTTTTGTGACACAAATTAACAAAATAGAATCCATAGGGTATACATTAACCAAAGAGAAATTATTGGCTGTTAGGCGTAGGCGGATATCAGTAATCATAGATGAAATACGAAGATGCACGCATTGAAAGGTAAAGAAAAATACAATCAATACATCCAGATAGGCTATAATAGAACAGTTAAAAACTTTATATTCACCTTAGAGTGAATATTCGATAGTCATTACTTCGATCTAGCATTGCAGGATTGCAAAGTATATTTTTTCGCATGTGCGGAAGTAACAAACGGGTTAATCGGACTAAATAAGTGGTTCTTAGCTGTCTTTAGAAAACATTCGTGCCATCATTTTATGTCAATATCCCTTAGTGACTGTAAGTTATAACTTTTTTAAACCCAGCACTGTGTACTCATTTTGTTTTGTTTCTTCGTTGTATGTAATACCCAAAAGGAAGCTTCAGAGATCCTATAAAGTATATGTATATTCTTGACCAGCGTGAAATTCTGAGTTGGTTTAGCCATCTCTGTCCGCCTGTGTGTCTGTGCGGTGTGTGTTGTTGGTCGCAAGCATGACGATATCGATTTCAAATTTGGTAGAAATATTGGAAGTTTCTGCACGCAGGTTGGGTTTGAAAATGGGCCAAATTGGTCGGGGCAGAAGCGCGTACTAAAGCGTAAACTGAATGCAACTCCGTTTTTCTTAACAAAAATTTGTGGAAATTATGAAAGTTGGGCGGGTGAAATTTTTCACATTTACTTCGCGAAGCACTGTCCTATCTATGTGTAAAAATGGGAAATATCGGCCATGCCCACACAAAGTTACATGATTAAATTTTGTTTTATTGACTTTTTTGAGGTTCCAGGCCTAGTTATCGTAAGGCAAACAAGACCGAATGTTTAAAATTATTCCGTACACTTTTTAAATGAAGATATATTGTCTGCCTAAGAATGAAGAATAAGGTAGACACTGCGATTAATTTTGTCTTAATAATACCAGCAATATGGGTACTAAATAAAAGAACTTAGAGAGAGAGCATGCGAAAAACGTAGTGGCGGGTATGCGAGATTCGGCCTCCGCCGAATATAGCTTTCTTACTTGTTTTATTTCCTGTGCACTGGTTTATTCGTAAGCGGGTGGTGCCCAGTTCTTCTTCTACAATATTCAGACTAACATTTTTTGCCTATTGTATGTCGACCACGCCTATATAATATGTGGACAGCTTGTTATCTGGATATAAAATTTTAGGTTGATCTACAATACTTATATGTTATGAGATCGCTTATCGATATTTTTTAATGTTACAAATGTAACGGAAAATATAATATACTCCTAGCTCTCGTTTATTTCAGTATCAGAACAATACGTGAAGACCAACAGTCTTAACCTGTTGCGGTAGTTTCAATACAAGTAAACAATGTTAGGAATTGTTCCCCTCGCGTTATGTTTTCCCAAAGAAATTATTGACTGATACTGAAATGTATACCAGTTTTGTACCAATTCTTCAACGCTTCATATTAATGAGAGCCGAGAAAAAGAGATAAAGAGAGTAATGAGAGAAAGAAAAAAAAAAGTGCTTACCTGAAAAAAGCTCAAGGCTTGAGTTGAAAATCGTCTCATTTTGAGTTTTCAAGAATTGAAGATTAAAAAATAAAAAGTTATTGATTGATTCATTGCACATTTTGAGGAAATATCTAGCTATTGATTAATATAACGACTGACGAATAAAAGACTTTTGCTTACCGTAAACTTGACCTTAATGTTAACATTTAACAATCTGCTGTAATGTTGTTTCGTTTCGAATAAATTTATCACCCTTCGTCCGTATTACATTTGCCAGCCTAAGTTTATGAGTTTATAAAGGCTTACTGTATAGTACTTGGTGAAATTAGGAATTGAATTAACGGCATCAGCTTTTCAGTCAGTGTGCCCCCAACACCTATATATGAAGAGTTTTGTCGAATTTGGTTTTCTTTTTTGCTTTATTATTTTTATTGTCATGTTTTTCTATTATTTTCCGCATAAAAAAATAACAACCAAAAAAAGAACCTACTGACACTAGGACAAGCACTCAGGCGAACGACCAGAACAGGTGGACAAATTAAAAGGGCGGCCGAGAAAATGCGCAGATAATTAAACAGGCTGTCGAATAGATGGTGCGGGCGCGCATTCTCCGAGGGTAGATGCGATAAGAGCCAAAACTATGTTGTTTAAACTGGGTGCAATATTTCTCAAACGTAGGTGACCTAAACTTATTCTCAGTTACAATTTCGTTTTCATTAGTACGTTAACGAACGTTGACCCTGTAATACCTGCACAAACAATGTTTTGTTTTGTCTGAAAACTAGCCATGAGTACGATTATGGTTTAGTGTAAAAAAAAGTACGACTAAAGTTTCTTGCCCTATTCTATCTTTGTGGCTATAGTAGCATTTACTGTAAGTTTAATTTGAACTGGTTGCCCATTGCTTATTGAGGAACCATCATTGAACCAAGGCGGGGCCTTATTGCAGACGATAATATTTCAATAAAATTCGTTACTTACGCTTAAATCGTTAGGCGTTAATACGTTGAGTTCTTATTCGAGCCTTACTTTTGCTGAGGTTCAAGTTTTTAATCAAATTTAAAAAAACAGCAGAGTCATGAAAGTAAAGGAATTTTCTTTTTATTATTATTTGCAATAAACTGATTTTTTTTTTATTTTTATTATTATTAGTATAAATGCAGTAACAATTAGGAATATTCTTCCACTTGGAAAATTGTTTTTAATATCGCAACGAGAAGAGTGGGAAAAGTTATCTCAGTTGAATGAATTCATTTTATACGTATATAAGTGTAAGCTCGAAATGCGTGAGTTTATATATTTTTTAGGTTATCGAATAACTCAAATAAAAATCACAAAACTCTCTTGGCTAACACAGACAAGGTGAAAAAAAAAAAAGTTAAGAAGTTTGCCAAAGCAAGTATTAAATAAACAGTTCGCGGTGAGAGTTTAATAAGTAGTGACGTGAATTTCTCATTAAGCGCAAGCATTTTTCCGACTGATTGTATATAAATCTAAAAGAAATTCAACGGCAAATGTATAAATAAATCGCATAAATATATTTTAATTCTTATTTCGAAAAAGATAGATAGCAATTATAAAAAAAAAAAAGAATAAAAAAAAAAAATAAATAAATAAATTCAAATTAATTTAGTTTAGTATTGAAAAAGACGTCATCAGAAAGATTTATTAATAATATAGCTTAAGAATATTAAAAATTAAAAGCTAGTGAAGCGAAATAATGGAAAAAAAAATATCATCATTTATCGATTAAAAGTCAATCAATTCATTGTTTAATGTAAATCAAAAACATTATATTGGATTATCTTTCATATTAAGAAATCACCACAAATCGTCGCTAATTTAGAGGTAAAATGACTTTCTAATCACTTAAATGAGTGCTAGAAGGTTTACTCTTTTCAAGTCATTAAAACTTAATTTACACTAGCTTTGGTAAAGGGCTGGCGACATGAAAATGGGTCACGGATTTGTTTTGTTTTGTTTTGTTTTTTTTTTTTTTTTTGGCTTGTGTTTTGTATATGTGACACGTTCTTTTGTATCTTTCAGATTGTGTTTTTTTTTTTTTATTGTCTTTCTCTTATTTCATAAAATTTAACTTTCATTTGCAAGTTTCTCGCTTAAGTCTTTTTATTTTGTAGCAACTCTTACGATATAAGATTACGAAACCGACTTTAAAACGCGAGAAGGTTCTTGCCTTTCGTCGAATTGAATTGTAATTTGAGAGCAGTGTTACATATTTTTCGGGCTCTCTATACAAGCGTACGTATAAATCGAGAAAGAAAACTAAAGATAAATTTAATTTTAAAAATTAACAAAAAAAAAAAGTAGCTTTCATTTTTTTTTCTTATTTTAAATTCAATTTACTTATTGGGTTAGTCGGTTATGTTTCCATAAAGCTATAAGATGAGACAGTGATAATACAGTTTGTTTTTTACTTCGATTCTTTCATTCTGATGCGCTGGTGTTTCGTTTTGCTTTTTAGTGTCGATAGTGTTTGATCGGCGTGTCTCAGATTTTGTTTTAGAAAATCCTGTTGTATTAATATTAACTTGTTCTGTTTGTTAAACTTTTCTCTTTCTTAACGAACGTGAGTATATAAAAAACTTGAATTTAAATTTCAACTCTAAATAAATGAAATCAATTTTAGCAGAAGTTGAAAGCGGTAAGTTAGACTAGAAAATTTATTGGTCTACTATTCATCTATGTATAATGATTTAAAATATTTTCACTTTTCTTATACCCATCATGGAAAATTAAAATTTCCATTCATAACACTCAGCCCAAGGTGTACATACATATTATCGATTAGCATCGAAATTTAGTTTGATTCTTGAAACGTTATTCGTGACCGTGAAAATTCCTTAGTTAATGGTCATATGTCGCAAATGGGCGAACTTATTATAAATTGTAAACTTTTCGCATAAGTATTCATAAGGATTACTTGAGACTCAATTGGTAGAAATATGTTCGCGATAAGCAGACAATGATCACTTACTTACGTTCCATAGCAGACGGTAGCTAATTTTAGCATAGGTATTTTGCAAATGAGTGTAAATTCGATTCTATCGATTGGTTCAGTAATACCCCCATAAAAAACACAAGAACTTGTAAATTTTATGCATTAATTGGAGGCGACACTCGAACATCTTTGAACTATTATAGTACATGCTTGAATACCGAGAATTCGAATATTAAAATAACAGGGAAAATGTCGAACTCATCAGATAGTTTAATTAATATTTTACTTTCAGGAAGCCAAATTTTATACGTGTTGTATACATTTCCTTCAAACGTAAAGAATTGATGATGTCTTTGCTATTAATCTGTATTATATATTATATTAAGTGCATAACTTAATTATGATAAGAAAGGCAGCTATGAAATTTCGTGATTGACTCGACTCGCTAAATACATCCCAATCCCAACAAAATATTGATTGATCTACGAATCAATTCGAGTTTAGAAGTGGAAAATTTATGTACATTCACTTGATTCATTTTGGTGTAAGAAAACCACAGAAAGCTTGTCTTAATTGTACCATTAAATATATTAGTAGGACGATTAACGGGGCTTCTCATTCTGTCTCGGGGTAATAGCTTTTATGCCTTGACTACATGGAAATAATCGGTTCTTCTTTGTTAATTAGGCGACCGTTTAGATGAACTTGTTTCCAACTCTAGACGGACTTGTTTCCAACTGATAAATGTTCACTTATTGACATAAATTTTTTTTTTTGTTTTTGTGTTTTTTTTTACTCGCATTCGCCGCCATTCGGTTTGAAAGACAGACTTCCTCTGCTTAACGTGCGGAGCTGTATTCAAGTGTTTAATTATCTTCAACCTTGTAACGGAATCCTTCACGCCAAGGTCAACCAAGTTATAGTTCTTATTATATATCATGCCTCCACAATCTTAGGCAACATAGGATTATTGTTGTCCTAATTTGCTCTATTAATAGTTTATATTAAGTATTCAAAAATGTTTCATTGATCGTTGTAGAGCATTCACGTTTATTCATCACGTTCGTTAAAGACTTTGAGAGAGATAAGTCATTCAGACGCTTAGAGTGGGTAACTTTATTAATGCTAAATGCGTTTCTATGCGATGAAAAGCGGTTATTTGGATTCCAGGACAGACCGCAAAAGCAAAATAGTAAGAACTCCATTCATATTGCATATCTCAGATAATGCAACCATATTCTAGAGTAGACCTACAATACCGATATACAGAGCAATTGATTAGGGTAAGGATCGCGAAGTTCCTATAATCAGGGTTTGATAAAGCTCAATGTGCTCTTGGTTTTACTTACGATAATGCCGGGATTCCGAGATCAATAATTGCATGTCATTGATTTTATGAAATGTGCGGAGCAAATCGGTCTGATAAAAAACAATTTGCTTCTTCTAAAGATAGACATTCTATCTATAGAGAGACTTAATGTCATCAGTATACATGAAAACACGGCAATGCTTTATGACATTTGGTAAGTCATCTCTGAACAAGATGAATAAAACAAGAGATGAGATGATCATCTTGATAAGCCTCAGAGTGTACTCTGGTTTCTTTTGAGAATGCATCATTAAATAGTATATGTTGAAAGCGCTGCTTTAGGTACGGGCCTATTTATATTACAAGGTGTTCGTTAAAGCCTTTGTCTTCCACTGATTACTCATTTAGTGAAATCAGTGCAAATTAAAGCTGCTTGTTATCAGTTATTGAAATCTTTATTCATTACCAACGTAGTGAGTTGAATTAAGTCAGTAGTTGTTGATCTACTCTTTATGAATCCTTGCGTACAGCTTGCGGGACAGCTGGTAAGATTTGTAACAGGCCTATCATCAGCTACCATATACTTTTAAATCGTTTGGGCATGGGACCCAGCTTACTTAAGTCTCGGTCATTAAAAATGTCGCCGTTAGAACTATCCCGAAATGATCCTTTACTACTAAAGGGAATGTATCCATATGTAATTGACAACGGTGCAGAAATATTCGCGGCATAGTTTCTCAGGACACCGTTAGGTAGACCAGCAGGGCCTGCTTGAAATTTATTATCCACCAGAAACGCGTTTCTACGAGCGGTATGCTGAAGCAAATTAAACTCTAAACCTCATTGTTGTCATTGTAAGGAAATCTGTTTGCTCTTTTAACGATTTTGCAACGACTAAAAAGAGTCAGGAAATATGATCACGATTTCCCTTTCGCGAGCAGACTCAACGTTGCTTAACTTCGTGGATAGAGGATGGCTCGTAGGTTTCTTTTTTATGTTGGCAAAATCATAAAAAGATTTGGCGTCCAATTTTTTAAAGGTTTTTCACCGGTTGCAAGCAATTACAGTAGCATAACTTAAATATACATTATATAACTTGGAGTTCATATAGCCGTTACAAGGCTTGATTGTTTTGTTTTTTTTTTTGCTTTTAACAGAATTTCATTTTTTATTAGACCACGATATGTTGTTGACAAAGCTCTTAGGCACTGCAATAAATCAATTACTTTATCAAAATTAGTTGCAGAAGTTGGGTATAATTAGCTTGGAATGAAAGACCAGCTCTCCGTGAATAACAAATTGTTTGGTTTCTCGAAATTAGTCTGCTTGAAACCCAGCAGATGGAATACCGTTCGTACATTTCTTCACTCCTTATCGGGAACTGCGACCTGTAGTTCGATTGAAGGCTTGAATACCAAATCCAGTATCCGGCATATAAATTGTTAGAAGTATTGTTAACTTGAACTTGCAGATTAGATTGAGGCGGAGAGAGGAGGTAGGAATATTTTTCCAATTGGAGCCATGAAACTAGCCTAGATAGCCCGAACTCCCCAAAGGCAGGAACGGAGTCTTTTCGCTTTCTTACACGGTAACGAATTGTTGAGGGCATTTATGTGACTTAGATGAATGACTGATGACGTGGAACACGTAATTTATAATCTGCGAAAGTTCAAACTCTTAATAATGCAATGGAATAGCATTGCGAATAAAGTTGACATGTTGCAGTGATGGTCAGGAGAACACTTGAATGGGAAAAGCAAAACTAACTCGAAATCGTGTGCTGATTGAAATTACGCCCGCTTTTTAAAATTTCTTATGCATTTCTTAAAGCAACACAATCGTTCGAAGGTAGGCGTAAATATCCTTATGGTAAGTTGTGGTGAAAGTAAATTCTTGTTTTACCTCGTTTTCTTTTTCAAATAAATAGCATATATGTATCGTGTATCTTTTAAATACTGTGTGTTATAATATGTTATGCAAATTTGATTAAAATGCACATTATGCATAAGTGTATATGCATATAAGTCAAGTCATCCGATTAATTCCAAATCACTCGCAAAGGGTAAATTTTTTTTTTTTTTTGCTATAATATTTCAGACATTCACTGTACAGCTCGGTCCTAGTTCCGTTAATGATCTAAGATTGGTTTCGAAAGAGATTTGTGAAAGTCAGTTGGCTATATGTTTTGCCGATAAATCACGTTGAAGGTGTTATGAAATTTCCCGAAAAATAACAAAAGATGAATGGAGACTTGTTAGTAGTTCCACTTCTTTGAGTTGTACAATATCTAACGTTAAGGTTAACAAGAATGTCGCTCGCGTGCCAAGTCGTATTGTGTAGGCAAATGGCACATACATCAAAGGGATTTACGAGTTCTTTCATCATCTAATTACCTGGAGTACCTGGCATTGTGACATATGCACATGGCAATGGAATTAAGCTAAAGTAAAAGACAGACGAGCGCATATATCTTCTCTTGAAGAGTTTTTTTGCGATTTGTTTGTGAGCGCATAACAAACCATCAGTCAAATCCAATAGCTAGAGATAATAATATATCGAAATAGTCATTGTTTATTTGGG